TCGAAGTTTCTTAATTTACTTTGCAACAAAGCAAAGGATCATTTTCCTCTGGAGACCCATTTCACTGAAGGCTCGCTCGCTTCTCCTTCTCTGTTCTGTAACAGAGTGACCCAGAAAAGCTATAGCAGAGTTCACTGTAGTTTATAGCCTTTACCAGTCACCATGTCTCTGTCTACGAGGTTGAGACGTCCTCAGCCGTCTGATCCTTCTGCATCATCATCATCACCTTCTTCATCTTATTCAAAAGTCGATAAGCAAGGGAAATCGGGTGACGCCGATGGGTTTGACAAAGGGTTTCGTTGGTTCTTTCCCTTGGTCGCTTTGGGAATGCTAAGGTACATGAGCGCTACCTCAAACATCATACACGACTGTGACGAGGTCTTCAACTATTGGGAACCTCTGCATTACCTTCTCTACAAATCTGGGTTCCAAACTTGGGAATACAGGTACCCTTTCAATTGCTTTTGAAACTTTTCTTTCTCTGAAGTGGAAATTTTGTTCATTTCTTTCGTGCTTGTATCTGGGTTTGGCTTGTTTTTACTTTTTGGGTTTTATTTTATTTTGTTTCTTGCAAATTTCTTGTTTCTTGTTTATAGAAAACTATTAGGCTCAGCTTTTGTCTCTGGATTTAATTTATTGGCAAGTTTATTTTTTTGTTACTCAAAGTTAGCATTACAGCTCATGAACCAATTGCAGCCTTCTTATGGAATCAATGTGTTTTCTTTCTTATTTGCACTTTTGTAACTACAAGTGAATCTCATGGTATAATGGCTTTGGGTTCATCCATTTGATCCTTACAAACTGACATTAGAATTTGTACCTGATGGCATAGAGATATATGATTTGGATTAGCATTTGTAGGTGGAATTAGATGCTCATCATTAACCATGGTCAGTAATCTTATCATCTGCTGCGTGCTCTTAAAATACTGTGCATCATGGCTGTTGAAAATTTGATTTTGAGTGGTATCATTTTCTATCTTAGAAATCCTTTCATCTATGATTTTTTTTTGTTATATGCGTATGCCTCTTGCAGTTCTCAGTTTGCACTTCGGTCATATTTGTACATTCTTTTCCATGAATTGGTGGGTCGACCGGCTTCCTGGTTGTTTGCTGAGGAAAAAGTAAGAATTTTTTCCCAGTGACTTTTGAACTGTTATCTTCTTATAATTGAAATTTAATTTTCTGTCTTAAATTCGGTTGTTCTGAAACAATTTCTTTTTTGCTTACAGGTGAGAGTATTCTATGCTGTTAGACTCTTTCTTGCTATCCTTTCTGTTATCACTGACACTGTTCTGGTAGTTGCTCTTTCAAGAAAGTACGGGAAACGCCTTGCTTCTTACACACTTGCAATGCTATGCTTAACCAGTGGTTGTTTTTTTGCAAGCACAAGTGGGTGGGCCATTTCCATTTTTCTCCCTTGATCTGTAAATTCCATTTCAGGATTTCTTACTGCACTTTTGTTTTTTATTTTTGGATTATTCATTTTTGTTTTCAGTTTTCTTACTGTTATTTCTCTTACTTTTCTGGACCTATTTATTCCATGAAATGACAATGCTTTTGACATTATTTTCCAGGTTTTTTGCCCAGTTCGTTCTCTATGTATGCCATGTCTCTTTCGTCAGGGTTATTTCTTCTTGATAAACCTGCCATGACAGTTACAGTTGCAGCCATAGGCGTAATCCTTGGCTGGCCATTCTCAATTTTGGCTTTTTTGCCCGTCACATTTTACTCTCTAGCTAGAAGATTCAAACAAGCTTTTCTTGCCGGGGCAGCCACCTCTGTTGCTCTTCTTGTAAGTCGATGGTTGGCACATTTGTTGGATGTACAAAGTACATACCCATACCTGCATAATTGTCACACAGAGTTTTAAATGTCTCATTTTAAGTTTTTTACTTTTTAATTTAATTTTTTTTATTATGCTTATGATTATATGCTGAATATATCTTTTAGGTATTGTCGGTTCTCGTTGATCACTACTACTACAACAAATGGACATCATCTGTGTTAAATTTGTTGATCTATAACGTCGCAGGAGGTGGTGAGAGCCATTTGTATGGAACTGAGGGGCCACTATATTATATTAGGAATGGATTTAACAATTTTAACTTTTGTTTCGTACTTGCATTGCTGTTTCTGGCAATACTGCCGATTGCAAGGAAAAAGTATGCACCCAGCTTGCTCATTGTTGTCTCGCCTATATATATTTGGTTGGCGTTCATGTCTTTGCAACCGCACAAAGAAGAGAGGTTCGAATAATCTTACCTTTTATGATATCCGGGCAAGCCTGTTTTATACCACTTCTCTTAAATTGATTGAATTAGAACATATTCCTGCTAGTTTTGTATTTGCTTATCTTGACAGTACATTTCCAATTGACTGAAATTTCTCATATTTGCACAGTTGTGCATTTGCCATTAACAAAAAAAAATCAAATGATGATGAGAGGTTGAGTGTGTTGATATTTCCATCTATACTTTCTCCTCTATCCTACTTTTTTTTTCTTCTAAATGTTTTCTCTAATTTCTCTGGAATTACAGTAACTACAAAGATTCTTCTTGTTCTGACATCCACATCTCACCATAATCATAGGCAGCACTCACCTTGTTCTTTCCTGCAACAACAACAACCAAAAATAAAAAATAAAAAAATAAAAATCGTTTGTTATCTTTTTCATAGGCATCCTTTCCAGTCTGCATTTCTGAGTAGCCAGGGTCATATAGTTTCATATCTGAATGTTTTGACATTTAATGAGTCACTTTGATGGAAATGCTTAAGATGATATGAAGATTGTTCAATGTTATTTAACTGCAGGTCAGATGTGAGTGATAACTAGATATTTCCAATTGTCGTTGCAGGTTCCTTTATCCAATATATCCACTAATTTGTGTTGCTGCTTCGGCTGTCATAGAGAGCTTTCCTGATCTTTTCCGATCCAATTATGATTCCCAAGGCAATTCTCCGATGGTTATGGTGAGTTTATCCTATAGTTCACAAAAAATTGATAAATTATCTCTATGAACCTCACAGTATTGCTGCTTGTACATGTAGACGGCAAAGATTCTAAGACCAGTGGTTCTTGGCCTCATATTATGTGCCTCCCATGCTCGTACATTTTCGGTGATCAATGGCTATTCTGCCCCTTTAGAGGTTTATAAGCTTTTAGAAGATCATGACAATGTAGGAACAGGTAAGACAAGTATCTTGCTGTTATCCATTTATTGACCTTGCGATGGAGTGCATTGTCAACAAAGTTCCTTAAATGTTCGGTTATCAATCAATGCAATATGGCGTCATAATATTTGGAATGTACAATGAAAGGAGTAAACTCATGTTGCAATTTCGTTTGTAGAACTATAATGCACATGCCTTGTGTATAATGATTTCACATGTGCTCAAAATATTGGAAATTGATATGCTTTTTAATCTTTGGGGGCTTGGTTATACTAGCCATCTACACGAGATAAACTTTCTACAACTGTATAGCTTAAAAATGATAAATACTGTATTTTTATTCTTTTTTCTAATGTTCAATACACTTCCATATTGGTTGGGTTAGCCGCCTTGGTTATCTGCCCCGCATCTCCCCAAACTAATGTTTCTTGTTCAGTTCTCAAGTTGTGTAAGGAACTTGTTGGGTTCTCCCATTGATTATTTGGTATGCATTGGAAAGTTGCGTCTCTTAAAATTTCTTGGATTTCCTTCTGCATTTCAGGTTCTGTTCTGTGTGTTGGAAGTGAATGGCACCGTTTCCCGTCGTCGTTTTTTGTTCCTGATTATGTTGGAGAAGTTCGTTGGATTGATGATGGGTTCCGGGGACTTCTTCCCTTCCCATTTAATTCTACCTTGGGTGGAACTGCATCAGCCCCGCCATATCTTAACGATAAGAACAAAGCTTCTGTCGACCAATATGTAACCACTCTCTAAACTTGTTTATATAAAACTAAAGTGCCCTATACTTGTTATGTTTTCTTTAGAAAATGACCCATCAGTTTTTTACAGCTCAGGGATCTTGAACAATGTACATTCCTTGTTGAGCTGCAGCTTAGTCGACCTTTCCCTTCTCGCGGAAGTGACTTATCAACTTGGGAGGTACAAATCAGGCTGCTTTTATACTTTTTTCCGAATAAATTGCTATGAGCTGAACTGGTTTTCTTCTCAATTCAGGTGATTGGAGCGTTGCCTTACCTGGACAGAGAGCTCTCGCCTGCCAAGTTCCGCTCCTTTTTCATCCCATATCTGTGGCAGAGTAAGAATATCTTTGGCATGTACAAGCTGCTTAGAAGAGTACCAAAATGAAACCTTGGTTCTGACAGAATTACAGAATTAGATTCTGAGCTAGCATGACTTGTTCTAACCCCACCCCCATCTCTCCCCTTCCCCCCACCTGCGGGTCTCTTCAGAAGGAAAACCCCCGTTTTTGATGATATAGTTTAAACTTTTCTGATAGGTGGGACTTCCACAAAGTCTGTACTGATAAACGTGGAGTTGAGTTCTTGAGTTCATTGGTGACTTGCATGTATTTTTGAGATTTTGATGGACCCAAAGTAAATTCATATTACTAATGTTTTGATATTCTTTGGAATAGATGACCTAATTACTATTGCAGATCATTTTTCCCTTTTGGATGGTTAGATGTGATAGAATTAGAAAGAAAATTGAGAGAAATTTTTGGCCTCGCCTATTTTTCTCTAGAAATGGAGATTCTGAGATGTACCAAATTCATGAAGTCACTGCCAATGGGTCCCGCCACAGTGGTGGTGGTGGATTCCCCCTCCCCCTATAGCAAACTTCAGAGCCACCCGGTGGCCGGGTGGCTCTGGAGTTTGCGGTGGTTTTTCTTTCCGCTAATGTAACCAAAAAAATATTAATGAAGTCACTGTTGCATTAATCAATCCACTTCAAAATATTTGGTATTGGATGCAACATTCAAATCATCGGTAAATTGTAATGTACACTTTTGAATAATAATAAAAATTAAAGAATTGTATTAATTGTACGAACGTGGAATTACAATATCAGTTTCCAAATTTTGTCTATGTTGGGTAACCAAAACCTAATCGATGGAGGTAGTAGATTTCACCACATGGGCCACCACAACAGTGATGTCGTCGATCTTGCCTCCGGCGTGCTCCAATCCGGCCTTTTGGGCCTCCATCTGAAAAGGGCTAATGTTGTCCTTGTCCAAGGAATTATACAGAGCCAGGGTGGCTATGGTGGAAGCTACCTCCGCACAATCAATATCCCGACCACCGCTTACTTTATTAAAAGCCACCAGAACCTCCTCAATCTCCCTCGCAAACATGTTGTCCAGCAACCCATCTGTTCCAAGTACGATAATGTCCCCCGGCGCCAATTCCTCCACCGCAAACTCCAGAGCCACCTGGGGTCGGTCGCTGCCGACGTGATTCCCCAACTGGAAGGGGCAATTAAACCTCCGCTGCTGGGTTGGAGATTTGAGCATACACTTGGCGTCCCTGAACACCATGAAGCCGCTGTCTCCGACATTCACAGCGTGGAGGGTCCCACGCTCTTTGTCAAGGCTGAGGATGCAAGCCGTCGACGAGCCTTGTATTCCGAA